TCGCTCTCTGTCTCTCAAAAAATAAATAAATGTTAAAAAAAATTTTTTTTTAGAAAAAACTCTTCAGTTGTTTGTCTCTTCCTTAGGATACCAGTGTTCTTAGCATTATATAAATATAAACAAAATAACTCACAACCAGCAAGGGAGGGGGCCATGGAATACCTGTGTGAGGGAGATACCGGTCAGAGAGAGTCCTGGGTGGAAAGGCATCGAGATAGGAGCAGCCCAGAGGTGAGTCTAAGGAGCCTGAGGGGGACCTGCATGGGGAATTGTTGGAGGGTGTGGAGATTTGAGCAAGGACAGACCCAGGGGAACAAGTTCAACAGCAGGGAGCCAGACAGAGGCTGACTGGTAATCCAGATGAAAACACACTGACACACAAGTTTTATGAGACGATGCTTACCCTTTCACTACGCTCAGATTTTCCATGCTCTCCCTTGTTCACCTGTGCAGAACTGAATTGTTTGTTTCCATTCCTCACTCCCCCAGAGCAAACACTGTAGTCGTGGCATCCTGGTGGGTGGGGTACTCTTCCCCAGCCCTTGACCTTAGGCTTTTGTTTGGTCTGCGGGCTTGAGCAAAGACTTGGAAGTGTGCTGGTGTCGTTGGGCTGCCCACTTGTATACTTTTATTTATTTATTTAGTTTTTGAGAGCGCACAAGCAGGAGAGGCAAAGGGAGATAGAGTGAGAAAATTCCAAGCAGACTCCACACTCAGCACAGAGCCCAAAATAAGGCTTGATCTCGCAACCAGGATCACGACCTGAGCCGAAATCAAGAGTCAGACACTCAACTGACAGGTCCCCCATGTACACGTCTCTTGAGAATCACATACCCTGCTGGCCCAAGGAGGTTGAGGGACACACAGAACAGACTTAGACCCAAACAAACTGCAACCTGAAGCTGAGCCCAGAAGAGCCCAGAGATCAGTAAGATCCCAGCCAACTCAAAGACTCCTCAGCAAGTAGTAAAGGATTGTTGCTCTATACCACCCCGATTTTGTTGTCACTGTGCAGTCTTAGAACATAACTGCCTGAGACAGCCACCAAAGTGATTTCATGATAGGTTGTGACCGGAAGTTTAAAAGACACTTCTCTGTGCCACCCAGCATTAGTGTAGGGGGACCAGCTCAGGGGCCAGAAGAGCAGGTGTTCAGGGATGGTACCCACACACAGCATAGATGCTCACAGAGGAGAGCAATCATGATCAGAATCCAAACTCCTTTCAGACATGCCTGCAACAACATGGAAGCCATGTTGAAGGGAAGAAAAGTATCATACTTTATCCATTATATATGACTGCATTATAAAATACAACAACTGGTTTAGCTTTCCTACAAGCCTGGAACTTTGTGAAACTGGATTCTGACACAAAGACACTGTAGTGATACTTAATCGGCAAGTGAATCCCAACAGGGAAGAGACTAATTCCTCTTACATCCCCCTACCCCTGCCTTAGTCCTGTTCCTCAGGCAGATTTGAGGCAGAAGAGAAACATGCTTATTAAAGAAGTTCCTGGCATGTTCCTTTTAAATCAGATACTTTACCAATAAAGTGTTATTTCTGATATTCTTATTAAAAGGAATTACAAGTGCATCCTTACATAAAGTCAGTCATCAACTGATCTGTTTCAGAAATCGAAGCATTTTGTCATTGCAGTGAGTGGTCAGGGAAGGCCTTACCTACTGCAGAAAAGGTTCAAGTCTGAAAGGTCCAGCAGAAGTTGCCACCAAATTAGCAAACAATGTCCGTTTCCAAAGGACTTAACGTACATCACTCCTTCTGCCTGGGGAGCTCCCATCGTGATCCTACATTAAGCCAAAGCCCAGGCCGACCAAGCACAGTCATAAAGCATCCTACCCGGGAGTGAGAGTAAACCTTCCATTCCTCAAGTGCCCCTCCCCCAGCCCTCCCTAGATCCTTCCTCTAAGGCTCCTGCCTGGAATCCAGCCAGAACAAGGGAGGTGGGGGACACATCCACTATAGCACACGCAGGTCTCATGCTGCAAAATACAAGCCCACATGGGAACATGGCATCCAGGCAGACTTCCGGTGGGTTCCCTTCACTGCCGCATGCTGGGAGGCAGGCAGACTGGCACCCACACACCACCAGGTCTGCTAGGTGTTCATGCATGATCAGGAGCAGGCTACTTCTTCTCTTGGGACGTGGTTAAATAAGAACAATGCCTACCTTGAAAGATAGGTGTAGGATTAAAGGAGCATTTGTATATAAAACCTAGTAACACAGCAATACACAGGGGATGCCCAATAAGTAATCCTCTTAAAATGTCCTCCTGATTACGTGTTTTATGAAGAAAGACAGGGAAGGTCTTCACGCCACCTAGTGTGTTTGAGCCAAGAGGGGAAAATCCCCAATAGCCCCAAGCTTGAGCTCCAGCCTGTAAAACACAACAGTGTGACTGTTCCTTTCTTCCCTGCCTTGGTTCACAGAGGATTTGATGTGGCTTGTAGGAAATGCACAGGATATGAAAGTAAAATACAAGTAGAACAGAAAAGACTAGGATAGGGAAACCCTAAGTAGCACTGGAATTATAGACTGGCCAGAAACGTTAGACACAGATCTGTAGGTTGCCAATTTCTATACAGATTCCAAGGTTAGGCCATAAATTTGGTTCTGTTCTTCCTGATCAAGGGAAAAATGGAGACAGTCCATTAAAAGTCCTCATTATCATAAAAAAAAAATGCCTTCACAAAGAGGGGAGTGGATGACTTTACATTTTTATGTGAAATGTATTGGCAAGTTTCCTAAGGTTATTTCTTGAGGGGCACCTGGGTTATTCAGTCAGTTAAGCGTCTGACTTTTCATCTCAGTCATGATCTCACAGTTTGTGAGTTCAAGCCCCACACCGGGCTCCACGCCAACAACACAGAGCCTGCTTGGGATTCTCTCTGTCCCTCTCCCTGCCCCTCCGCTTCTTGCTCTCTCTGTCTCTCTCCCAATATAAGTAAATAAACTTCTAAAAGAAATTTTAAAAGACTATTTCTTGAAGCATCTTCCAATGAAAATAAAATTCTAAAGTGACTCCAAAAGGCTGCCATAGGGAGCCATGCATAGCACTTTCGTGATGTGCCACCTCCAGCAACAAAGGAGAAGCGGGACCACTCTTCCCAGACTCCCTTTAGAACCCCTCCCCTCAACAGGGCTGACATGGGGCAAAGCTGGGACTGTGGATCGTCTGAGGTCATACGGGTCCCCTATTGTAAGAACACAAAGTTCGGTAAACAGAGGTTGTTTCTAACTCATTCAATGACAAGATCTGATCTGACTCAGTGTGAACTATTTTTAGCCTTTTCTCACAGTGTAAATATTCAGATATTTCACTGCACAGTTTGAGTAGAGACTGCGCTCCCCACCCCCACCCCAGCCAGGGGTGTTATCTAATTTATGCAATTACACCATATTGCCTTTCTAACACTTAAAAAGAAAATTCGTAATTCCAAATCCCGTCTGGTCCCAAAGATTTTGGAAAAGACACTACAGACTTGTGATCTCTGATAAACCCCAAAGTACCAAATCCCAAAGAATGTCTACATATCTCAGACATCCTGTGAGCCAATGGTGGAGTGGCCTGTTTTGTGTAAATTGAAAAACATGACCAGTAGGCAGCCAGCCCTTCTCCAAAGTCAGATGGACTGGGGCCAGCATGACTTACTTGGTCCAGCTCTCCTCCTCATCCAGGCCCTTGGACCCCTCCATTCCTGGGCCACATTTGGTATTTTCAGGAGGGCCAAGATTCATGATGGAAGTTTGGGGGTGGTTGTAGCTTACTTAGTTCTATAGTAGGCATCCCCCTTTCAAAGGTATACGTGTGTGTGTGTGTGTGTGTGTGTGTGTGTGTGATCGATCACACATACGAATGATTCTGAGCCTAGAAATAAATGCTTCAAAAGTATTTTTATTACACATACAAATCCATATGGTGAAAAAGTGGGAACATTTCTCACAGCTGTGCTCCGTTGTACAGAAGCAGAGAAAGGGCCCCACTGGGGTCCCCAACACTGGCCACACTGTGGTGGAATCACCTGGGGAGATTTAAAAAGCACTCCTGGGGCGCCTGGATGGCTCAGTCGGTTAAGTGGCCGACTTCGGCTCAGGTCGCAATCTCATGGTTCGTGAGTTCAAGCCCTGCCTCAGGCTCTGTGTTGACAGCTCAGAGCCTGGAACCTACTTCAGATTTTGTGTCTCCCTCTCTCTCTGACCCTCCCCTGCTCATGCTCTGTTTCTGTCTCAATAATAAATTAAAAATAAATAAATAAATTTTCTAAAAAACACTTCTGCTGGGTTCTCACCACCACCCTCCTCAATGCCCATTTAATTGACCCAAAGAACAATCTAAGCACCCAGCAGTCTCTCCCACTGATGAAAAAGAAAATCATCTGGAGAAATCAATCATGTAAATTGCCAGCCCTCTTCTCTGAAAGTCTCATTCAGTACATATGGGCTGCACAGGACACATTTTTTGAAAACCAAAGTTCAGATGATTCCCATCTCCCAAACTGGGGTACACCGTCTTGAAGGTTGGGGAAGAAAAGTTGAACAGGGTGGATTTGGTGGGGGGGGGGCTGTTGCACAAAAGAGTCTCCTGAGTGGACCCCTAAACAGGCCACAGGGGCTCTGGGCTGGGGGGGCCCTCTCGGAGGAATAGGGTATTACACAAAGGAAAGGCAGGTCAACTTGGCCTCTCCTGTCAGTTTCAGCCGGTCAGCGGTAACAGCCCGGAGCGCTGGGCAGAGGTCCTGCTCAGTGAACAGACAGGCGGCAATCGATTGGCACTGTCAGCCACACACCCGGAAGAGGGCACAGCCTCAAGCTCGCCAGACATCCACTGTCTTTCTGGAGAGCCCTTGGCATTGCTGCTGCTCTCGTCCAGGCCCTGGGTACGGCTCTCGCACATCAGCACTCCGCTGCGGGGGGAGGCTCCTGGATGACTGGTGCGGGGGGGAGAGAAATGCCGGGGTGCTGCCCACAACCCCGCCTGCATGTTTCTCCAGACCCTGCGTTTATCTCTGCTTGCTGAAGAGGCTCTTGAAGGCGTTGTTGTAGTTCTTGTTAAATGCTGTGTAGATAAGGGGGTTGAAGAAGGAATTGGAGTAGCCAAGCCACAGGAATATGCTCTTCCAGATCGGGGGCAGGCTGCAGGCACAGAGGGGGCTGATGAGCTCGGCCAGGAAGAAGGGGATCCAGCACAGCACAAACACGCCAATAAGAATGCCCACCATCACGGCTGCCCGCTTCTCCTTCTGCTCCCGCCATGAGTCTCCGCTCATCTGAAAGGCCACCCCCGGGCGCCGCGCCGTGAACACCATTTTCGCCTCGCAGGGGGCCTCCTTCACCTTGGGACAAAGGAAATGTGCGATTAACACAGAAAACCCTACCAGTGGATGATAAGCAATGCGGGGCCGCTCCAGTGTGGCCAACATCTCCCCCCACGCAGCCTCACACAAGAGGCATTTATCAAAAATGCTGGGTGAACGGTGCCTGAAACTGTAGGTTAAAATAAGCCCTGAGGGTTCTCCGAGAGTGACTGTGGCAGTCCCCACAATGTCAATATGATCTAAAAAGAGAGAAAGCAATTTAGAGCGGGAGCCTGCGTGTCAGACTCTGGCTTGAGTCCCAGCCCCCCTGGCCATGTGTGCAGCTGGGTGAACGAAGTCCATTCCCCACTTAAGGACACCATGGAGGTGAACTAGGAAAGTGCTGGGTGTTCCTTTCACTACTCCTAGAGTGGGCTGGGGGCAGGGACTAGGACCCCAAACAGAACAGGCCCTGACCCAGGCCAGGCACGAAGTTCATAGCTGGAGAGGCAGCCTATAAACCTCACCATTGCAAGAAATTATGCAACCATGTGCTACATGGATTCAACTTAGATTTGGGGGTAGTTCTTACTACCTAGCTTTGGGGGCACCTTGGTGGCTCAGTCGGGTGAACGTCTGACTCTTGGTTTCGGCTTAGGTCATGATCTCTGGATTGTGCGTTCAAGTCCCGTATCAGGCTCTGCACTGAAAGTGGAGAGCCTGCTTGGGATTTGTCTCCCCCTCTCTCTCTGCCCCTCCCCAGCTTGGCCTCTCTCTCTCTCCCTCTCTCTCTCTCTCTTTCTCTGTCTCAAAAAAATAAATTTAAAAAAATTTCTAAAAATTTAATTTAAAAAAATAGAGCTGTAAATATTTTTGTGGTAATAATTCACTACTCCTTAAGGAGCTCCCAGCACAATGTCCACCCTGTCACCCACATCCTTTGGCTACCTCCTATTTATCTCTCAGGTCTTAGCTTAGAGGCCATCAACTGTCTCAGAGTGGCCTCTCTGACTCTCTAAACTCAATCACATCCTCCTCTTCCATAGCAATCTGTGTGGCTGTGGCTATTATATCTGCCCCATCCCTACTGCCACCCCAGTCCAAGCTGAACGACGGCAGGGACTGTGTCTTCCCGGTGAACCACTTGCCTGGTGGCAGCAGCCGGTACCTGACAGGTGCTCACGAAACAGCTGCTGCATTAATGAGGGACCATGACAACAGAACGGTCCGCATCTGCATCGCCCTTCCTTCCCAGACACTGCCAGCCCTGACCCGCAGTCCCCAGGGGCAGGAGGCCCCCAGGCAAGGGCTGCGTCTACTTAGACACCGCCAGACACATCGTGGCCAAGAAGCACAGTCCGGGACCCGCAGCCCATTCCCCGTCTGCTCTCACTGGGTTCGGATGGCCAAAGCCCAGCAGTGGAGGAGCCCCCGGGGGACCTGAGCCATGTGACCCTGGGACTCCACCCTGGGAACCGCCTGCGAATTCCATGTCCTCTGTCACTTCCTCCACCACCTCCAGCCCCTTTCGTTGGAAAATCGCTACGTCGTCAAAAGAGATCATGGAGACATGGACAGGGAAGAGTCCTGCGCATGCCTGGCCTCTTGCCGCCGCTTGGAGAGAGACAATGCCACGGCAAGTGATGCCAGCATGGGAACAAACAGCATTTCCCCCTCCCTGCCCTGTGCCCCCGCAGAGGCCAGCCAGAGCCCCTCTAATGAGCCTTTCCAAGGCTTGCCGGCCCCCGTGGGCAGGTATGAGCCCCAGGTCCCCATTCCTCTTTAGAAGAGACAGTCCTGACAGACTGATTCCCTCATTGTGGACCATCCTCAAGTCTAAGTCTGAGCCATCCTGAAGCCCTCTCATGAATATTTAACAGTCTACTGGGGAGAGACTCATGTTGTCAGAGCAGGAGCAGAAGTGGAAGGTGATGTGTTTGCTTCTCTCCCACTGGGCTCCACTCTGTAATGAGCCACTTCTCTGCTGACCTAAACAGCCACCCAAGCACTTGAGTCCCTCCTCTGGGTAAGGCAAATAACACATCCTTATTATGCTGAGGGAATGAAATGGGGTGAATTCAGGTCAAAGGGCTCCTGGGAGGACAGAAACAGAAAAGGCAAGTTCACCGATCATGTAGGTTTGAAATACCAGGCTTCCAGCACCGTGGCACATAGTAGGAGCCAAGTCTGTCCCACCGCGGCATCTGTTTGCTATAAGCCCACGTGCGTAACTTTCCACCTGAGCCTGCTACACCCTGTGCAGAGAGAGACGGGCAGGAAGACCTTAGAATCTTTCCAGAAACAGCTTCAAAGAAAGAGTCAAGCCGGGGTGATCCTGGTTTGCAAGGAGACTGGCTAGCTTGGCTTTTCTCCTTTGAAATGTAGTCTCCAAAGGGCGCTAAGGACAATTGTAGAGAACTGACTGTAAGACAGACACGGTGCTAAACACTTGTCATGGACGGCTTTCATTCATTCGCACGTCTGACTTGAGGGGTATTAAGTATCATTATTGTCTCCATTTTGGAGTTGAGAAAACACACTAAGAAGTTACATACCTTGTCCAAGGTCACCCAGTTGCTTCGTACAAGAGCTGGAAGTCAAGCTTGAGGATCTGGACCCGGACACCACGCTCTTAATCCCTATATGTTGTTCTGCGTGTTTAGTAAAGGCCATTGCTCTGAATAGGTTCTGACAGACCCTATCTCAAGGATATTTATGCCTTGACATTTTTTCAGAATGGGCATGAATGGCTTTCTGGCAATTTCTCTGGCCACCAGCTCTGGCCAGCCCTGCCCTTCCCCATCTCTCCTCTTTGGTCTTCTCTCTCCTCAGCCTCCTCACCCCATCTTCCCCCTACACGCCTGTCTGAAAACTGACCATCTGAGCTTTCAGAGGCCTCTGACCTCTGGTTAGAAATCCGCTAACATGCAGACAAGAATACGGGCTGGTGAAAGCATACAGAATCTCTCAATTCTCAGAAGTTTGGAGACGTCAAGTACCATGGCCAAGGCCACACAAGCAGGGCAAAGCAGAACCAAGGTGCCTGCCTAGTCTGTCTGGTTCGGGGCCTGGGGGGTTTCTCTCTGCCCTGCTGAGACGCGACCTAAAAAAAAATGAGCTTACCTGAACATCTCCGTGGAACCTGAGGCTTTTCCATCTACAAGTAATTAAGGACCAAATCTGCCAGACAATATATGTTCAGGCACGCATTAACCACCTGCTGTGTATATCGGGACTTGGTACTAGAATTTCCCATCAAGTCCCAATTTCAGATATTCTGTCCCCCCTCTTCCCATCAAGTACTCTGATGCCAGGGCCTTGGTTCTGAATTATCGTTCAGAATATTGTGTCACCACCAACACCCCAGGAGGGCAGGGACCACAAGTGTCCTGTCCACGGAAGAGTCCCTAGCGCTTAGCATCATTGATGGATATAGTAAAAACTCAATAAAAATCTACTGAACATGGAGATGTGTGGGAGAGAAGATTGTCTTGCATTCCCCCACATTTTGCTAGTGGAGAGACAGCCGTGGACTGGCTTCCAAACAGTGTTGGGAGGCAGAAAGGGTGTCTCTCCAGCGGAAAAGTGGACAGCTTAGCCCACAGCCCATTATAAAAGAGTCAGGTCTCCTAAGGGCAGAAGACAGGTGCATCTATCGTCCAACACTGGGCAGCACAGATTCGAGTTCTCGCATCCGGGAGTTTCTCTACAGTGATGCAAACCTATCGGGGGCACGACAGGTCACTCCCCTGGGAGTTGGAAGGAAAGGGGGACCAAGGCACACAGGAAGCTCAGGTGGGCCTGGGTGCCGTGAGTCATAAAGTCCTTTGACTTGGATTAGGAGTCTCCTGTCTTCTGCCAGCGCCCAGAAACAACGGCAGACCGACTGGGCAAAACGTCAGACCTTCCCGGTCCTTGACAGTTGTCTGGTACGTGGCCAGGTGGGTCCACACGCCCTCTTATTCAGTGATGACAGTAACCAGTAAGGAGGGGATGAGGAAACTAAGGCTCAGAAAAGTTAGTGATTGGACAGGATGACAGTCCAAGGCCCCATTTCTCCAGCTCTAACCGTGAAGACCCTTGTCTGTACTGTAGGCTCAGTGTGAGGATCACAATGAGACACAGTACACAGTGTGACCTCAAACATGTCACCTTCCGGTCCCCTTGTCCCTACCTTCTCCTCTAATAAAAAAAATTCTAGTGGGGCACCTGGGTGGCTCAGTCAGTTAAGTGTCCAACCTCGGCTCAGGTCATGATCTCATGGTTTGTGAGTTCGAGCCCCGTGTCAGGCTCTGTGCTGACAGCTCAGAGCCTGGAGCCTGTTTCAGATTCTGTATCTCCCTCTCTCTCTGACCCTCCCCTGCTCATGCCGTCTCTCTCTCTCTCTCTCTCTCTCTCAAAAATAAATAAAACATCTTAAAAAATTAAAAATAAAGAAACTTGTTTTTGAAAACTCCCCACTGCCACAGAAAGAGCCCACGAACATGTTTTATCCTCTAAAGTTGTTGATTAAACATCCGAACAAGAAACAGGAGACGAAAGCAGAGAGAAGTGTGGTCTCAATCACCCGTGGAGTAAACACGCCGTGTGCACCATGACTCCGAGGGTCAGGCACCCAGGAGGGCAAGATTCTGTGAAGCAGGTGTCGGGGCGACCACGCTAATCCCAGTGAGGAATCAGGCCCGACAGCCTCTGAGAGAGGACAGAGGACATAGAGTCCTGATTTGGGCTGAAGGCAACCCAGATTGTACCTGGAATGCATTTCTGACCAGAGCTCAGCAGGTCAAGACCGGGAAGGCCTGGGGCTCCAGTCTCTCTGCCCAGGGTTCACTGGGCTAGCCAGCTGCCCAGGGCACTTCCCAATGGCACGTGAAGGAGATAACTAGCCAAAAGGGCCCCTCGACTTGAACACAAACTCTCTAGCTTGTCCGATAACCTAAAGCAGCACATTTTCTTGGCTGCTTCTCCGGTGAAAAAAAAAGAAAAGAAAGAGAAGAAAAAGAAATTAAGGAAGTTTTCTTATAATAAATAAATAAATA